ACCCCCAGGGCACAGCAGACCTCTCCTGTCTCCCCGCTGCTCCCCTCAGCAGTGTGTTTCAGTGGAGCTTCCTGTTCTGCTTCCCACTCTGTCTCTGGGGAATCCTCTCACCCCCACACCTCTGGCCTTTACCCTATGCATAATAGATCTTTTATGCATAAATAGATCTATGCATAAATAGATCTTTTTAAAAAAAGTAATATATATAGCGTAATTTTTTAAAAGATGTATTCATGCATACAAGAACTGGGGTACAGGCCATAGGTCCAGGGAGTGAAAAGCTTCACCAGAGACAGAGTGGGGAGACAGGAGAGGTCTGCCATGCCAAGTGGGCCACTCTCTGCCAGGGACTGAACTCGTGCTACAGCGGCTGTGGACAGCTTCATAGTGCTGCGCTTTCACCTGCTGCGCCACCAGGGAGGGCCTGTAGCATAAATTTTAAATCCAGGTTTTATAATTTAATCCAGGTTAAATATTTGTGCAAGATTTAACTTTTTTCAAAGTCATTTATACTTAGAGAATGGGGCAAAAATTAAAGTGGCACTTCTTTCTCCCTTGTTCTTCGGGGTGATGCAGAAAACAGTGGCAACTTTCACTCTGCTTCATCCACTTTCACTGTAAATCAGTGCGGCATCATCTTACCGATGCCTCAGAAGGCCCCACACCCCCAAAGCAGACAGCAGGAGCTTGACTCACTGGGCGCAGAGGCGGCCAGAGGGTGGGGGGCGCCAGGTTTCAGCCACAGGGCAGCTTTTACAGGACTCCTCAGGACAAGGGGCGCTCCTTCAAGCCCACCCCCGCCCCTCATCTGCTCGGAGTTTCCTATTTACCCACCAGTCTAGAACCCACTCCTTTCAGGGGCGTGGTCTCAAGAATTAAGGGGAAATTTAGCTTTCTAATCTGATTAGGGGATTGCCCACTCTCTTCTGGGGAAACAAGAGGTGGTCATAGGCAACGCGGAAGCCAGCTCTCCCCTCGGGCCAGCGGCCAGTAGGCCCAGTGGCACCGAATGCCTGGGGACTCCCTGATGCCCTCTGTTCTCTGGGACTCCAGCTCTAGTGCCGGCTGACACAGAGGCAACCTGTCATTCCAGTGTGATCCCCCCCACCCCCACCACCACAGCAGACCTGAGGGACCTCAGAGCCGGTTCCTGGAGTCTCCGAGAGCTGCAAGAAGGTGTCCCTCAGGCTGAGGGGCAGAGCTGAAGCAGCACTGAGTTCTGCCAGCCGCCTGAACCCCAAGTGCGACCTGCAGGCCCAGCCCCATCCTACCGGTGATCATGCCGCGTCACCTCCTCAGCGCTGCCAAGTGTCCACACTGCTGGTCCGCAGGCTTGTAAACACAAGCGCTGCCGGCGCTTGCTAACGCCCCTAGCTGACCACGTAGGAGTCGTCGTCTCTGGTCTGCCCCAGAGCTGGGTTTCACAAAAGTGTGCAGACTACTCCTAATGAAACCTGAACACTCAGTCTCTCTTCAGGGGTTTCCAGAACCCAAGTACAGCCGTGCCAACCACATCCGCGCACACGTGTTCACTCTCGCTCCAGGACACATGAGAGGAGCCACCCACGCAAGAATCTCCATCTTAGGGTAAGAGCACAGACGGCCACCAATTCTGTATAAAACACAGGGAAAAAGCCAGCCAGCTACCTGTGCCATCGTCTGCCCTGTGCCAAGTGGCTCGTTCTAAACCCTGAATTTAACAGACACAGAGAGCTGAGGTTCTCCAACCACTACAGACCCCCAGACATACGGGCAAAGGGCTCCAAAACCAGTGTCCCCGAAACAGGTGACTTCTCGGACATTCAACCTCCGCGAGAAAGGAGCTGGTGAAGGGTCACGCAGGGGTCCCTAAAACCTTTAGCTCCGTCTCCCAGTGAGGCGTGGATCTGGAATTGACTCACCAATCTAGAAACCTGAGTTCTGGTCCCACCTCTATCACTGATGAAATGCATTTGAGCAAATTATTTAACCCAACTGGACATCGGCTCCTGACCCCACATGAAATGAAGCATCTTGGCTCCATTCACAAAGGTATTCTAAAACTTCCATGATTCTAAGATTCAGCACACAGAAATAAGAAGGAATAATGACATTCTAGAAGGTACCTGAACTGTACCATTAACTGACTTTACTCTCTTCAGGTGATTCATCTTGACCGATCAAAGTACACTGCTAAGGGGAGCAGTGACGAGACAGGAGATGTCCACCCTAGCACATGGGTCACCTCCCCGTTCGGGGATCAAACCCACGCTGCAGCGCTACAGACAGCCCCAGTGCTGAGCCCCAACCCCTTGTGCCACCAGCGAGGGCCCAGCTTTAGGTGATTCTCTTGACTTTTTAAGCAAAAGGAAGTAATCACTGTTATTTAACCAGTGGGATCCCTTAGAACGAGGCCATCCCCCCTCTGAGGGCACCAAGCTGTTGTGAACTCAGCCTCCTCACTGTGAGGTGAGCGTGTAACAGGGTGGACCCAGGAAAAGGGGAAGGTTCCAGGTTCCCTGCCCCATCCAGGAGGATGGAGCTGAGCAGAGAAGAGAGGAATCTGGAGAGGAGTCTCAAGAGGAAGGAAGCAGGATGGCACCAGGAGACCTGAGGGAGCCGCAGGGAGCAGAGAGACACATGAAGAAACTGTTGTTTGCTTCTTAGTTCTGGACTGGTTGAAACAGATGTGGGTGAGAGACTGTGGGGAAGTGACTATGGCAGCGTTTATCTTGATTTTCATTTTGCTCTTTTCCTCCCAGACTTGTCTGGCCATTTCTGACCCTTTTCTATGGGTCCCAGACAGAAGGTGCTTGAGGCTTGTGGCGGCTCTCAGGCCTTGCTCTGGGCAGTCCCTCTTGGGTAGACTTTTACCCACGAGGTGACGGTTAACTTTGGGGGTTTGATTTAGAAATGACACTCTGTCTTCTCTGTATTGCACACTCATTGTATTAAAGTTCCTTTCCATTAAAGCTCTTATGTCTTGTCTTGATGAGGCAGATGGCAGAACCTATTTAGAACAGGCAGGTTTAGGGGCTTGGGGTGCCTCTCCCCAGCACTGTAACAGATCTGGTGCCTAATGTGGTAGGATTCAAGCCGTCCGTGGCTAGTCAGCCCTGCAGGGAAAGCTGGCTTCCCTGTGGCACTGGCAACTGTAAGCACAAATGTGATTTTTGTTTCTCTAGTTTTTTTTTTTTTTTTTTTTTCAGATGTAGATTTGCTGTTGAAAAACTAGCTTGGGTCTTGTCAAAGATTCTCTGTGTGTGTGTACAATTTTGTTGTAGTCACTTGCTAAGAGGTTTGATTTGTGGAAATTGTGTAGCACTTTTACTTAAAAGATGGCAGTAGGTTGGATCATGTGGCCAGATCAAAGATGGCATCTGAGGCCCTTGGCTGGTATCTCGAAAACTTGGAAGCTTTTGTTCTTGAAGGCTCCTATTCCCGATTTTCCACTTCCTTTCTTAATGAAAGTTAAGTTGCTAGGACTTTGGACTTTTTGGTGTGTGTGACCTCTGCTATTTTACAGTTGTCTAAGATTCTGCTTCCTGCTGAGGAAGGTCTGTTGTGGAAAGTGTATGACGTCATTGCACCAGGTTTTCACACCTGTGCTGTTGTGGTTTCTCCCTAATGTGGGGAGGTGCAACCTGTACTTGTATGTTGAATTTGTTCTTCCAGCTTCTGTCCCAAAGTGGCTAAGAGAAGTAAGGAGATGACTCCTTTTAACTGAAAGTTAACTGCTGACTTTTTATTTTGCTTTTTCAGGTTCTGTTCCAGGAAACCCAAGGATTGCTACCTTAGTGGCTAACAACAAGATGACTACTTTTGCTTGAAAGTTATTACCCCAGGATTGACTTCTAACTAATGAAAATGCTTAAACACTAAAAATCACATAACTCTTGTAATTAATAAAACTTTCCTCTTCCTATTTCCAAAGTCTTAGGTTTGTAGGATGACAACTGAAACCTGTGATTTCTGCCAGCAACACTCCACATTTTTTTTTTGATGTTTTTCTCGGCCTATGGAGTAAAAACTGCAGTTACATAACTGTTCTGTGTCTATATGTTGCATGTCCAGATATGTCTTTTCCATGTGCTGAACTGTTTTGCACTCGAGGTGTTATAGATTGGTTTATATGGTATCTCTAGATATTGGAAAAGAAAAACTATAATGAAAGCTGGTACACTGGTTTTGAAACATGGATAATTCTTGGTCCGCAATAACTAATTCGTACTCTTAATATGTTGTTTAAAAACAGGTACTTCTAAGGCTGTGTTGCGTATATATTTTTTTCTTTCCCTTGGGTTGACAATCTCAGGAAAATGGAAGTTTAGGAAAATTAAGGTTTTCTGAGGACAAAGAGTCTTTAGTTATCAAGAAAAAACACTAAAAGGTTATGGTTTGACTGTCCACATTGCACTACTGACTGAGCCGGAGCTTTCATGGAGATTGAGATTGTTGTTGCTGCTGTTTTTTTTTCATATTTGTGACAAAGCTTCCCAGAATTCTAAATTTGAAGTTAAATTTGGTACTGTCACCCCCACACTGCTGGCCTACACCTCAATTCTTGTATGCATAAACAAATAAATAAATCTTTAATTAAAAATAAGGTGAGGTCTACCAGCCTTCAGGGTTGGTGAGGACGTTCCACTAAGACCCCAGTATCATGCTCTATTCGTGAGGTTACCCCTACCCTCACTGTCACCCTATACAGAAGGTCCTCTTGCCCGCGGAAACATGCAGGGAGGCAGAGAACAATCCTTGTGCTCAAACTTAGCTGTAGGCTTGAGTGCAAGGATTGTGCATATAGAATATAAAATGCAAAGACAAAATTTCCTAAGCGATTCACCAAGCTGTCAGAACTAAGAGTTTATGTAAGACACAAACGTGCCAAGATGGGTTCATCGTGAAAGCTTTTTGCAGAAAGGAGTTTTTAAGGATCAGGTTTTCGAGAGCAAAAAAGAACCCAAATTGGCAGAGAAGAGTGTTGAAGATCTAATGGGATTTGAGTGGCAGCTCTTTACCTTCCAAGCGTTGGGGGGCAGGTCCCCTGTTCACGAGGCTCCAACCCCCTGATGCCACCAGTCAGTGCCACTCAGGAGACGCGCCCAGTAAGCCATCTTGTTGGCTATTCTCCGACAGAGCCTTCCTTCCTAGTGACACGCTCCATCGCCACGGGGACGGAGTGATGTCACCACCAGAGGCACTCTGTTAATAGAGACAAGGAGGAACAAGGTAAGTCAGGGGGACTGCCTCCACCTGGCAGTGAGGCCGACACCTGGGTGTAGCGGTGGCTGGGGAGGGTGACATGTCTCCATCATGACACCTGGGCACCCAGGACTACCCCTACAGAGTGACAGATCTGGCTGAGGAGTCAAACCCGTGGTCCAGGAGATTCAAACACCCAGGGAGAGGGGAGAGGCGCAAGAAAGGTGGAGAGAGGAGATACAGAAGTGGAGAAAGGTTCTCTTGGTGCATGACAGACGTAAGGTGATTTCTGTGGCTGTCCGATGCACAGCCCCACTGTAAGGCATAGCGTTTAGCATTTGCTGTTTCCAAACTGCTTTCACACAAATGATTTCATGTAGGAAGAAATCTAGGCCCACCCTCCACATTGGAAAATAGTACTTCAAAAGGAGAACACACTCAAAAAGGTGGGGAGAGGTACAAGGAGACTTCCCAGGCCAGAAAACATGAGAGAATAGTTCAAAGGAAAAAAAAATTAAGGGGCAGTGAAGCAGGAAAGGACACCAGGGTAGGTGACCAGGAGGCCTGGAAGTGTGTGATTAGGCTAACCAGCACCTCCTGACTGACAGGATGCAGCCAGGCAGAGGGAGTCTGGCCTCCTTCAGAGTGCTGAGCGAAGAGCCACCTGTAAACTCCTTTCCTCAGCGTCACCTGTCAGTAACTAGACGCTAGGAGGGAGGAGGAGGATGACTCTGACACAGAAGACATACCAGAGTGGAGGTTCAATGCACCCCGGAGTCCCACGGCGGTGTGACATTTGGCTATACAGATACAATGCCCTCTGTACCTGGCTGCCTAGGAGTGTAGGGGCACGAGGTGGAATTGATGTATTTCCATTCATAACACAGGAGGGTACAATATTTCCTCCCTGCGGAAAACCACCACCTCCCCACAGCCTGACATATGTACTGACACCTCAGGAAGTGTCTCCAGGAACCAGTGCCCTTGGCTATACTCAGCTCTCCAGAGCTACTCAGAAAGCAAGTACTTGTTGATGCTGGAAAAGTACATCCTACTTCAGTGATCCCTTGGCCAGAACAAAACAAGTTTTCAACTGACAAGACCAGGAGTCAAAGGCCTGGGTTCTGTTAACTCTATGACTCTAAACAAGTCATCTAACCTTTCTGTAGTTCACTTTTTTTAGCTGTAAGGGAAATACTTTATCTACCTTATATGTTGTCCCAAAGATGAGATGAGATAATAAATGTGAAAGCATACTGACACTGCTCTCCTCAGGTAAGCTGTTATCTGTAGCAAGAGCCTATGAAATATGAGTAGCAAGGGCAGGAAAGGAAATGCTTCTAAGAAGCTTGTTTCTTTTTCTCAATTTCTGGGAACCAGGCCCGGCCACAAGGTTGGCTGGACACAGGGAAATAACCTTGTTGCATCACACCTAATTGGGGGAGAACGATCAGCCAGCAACACGCTACTGTCAGACTCGGAAATCACCGGTGTAGGAAGTGGTCAGAGCAGCAAAATTCCCAAGAACAGTGGCTCACGGTCTCATTAGAGCCACATTTACTAGCGAAATGAAGTCAGCCCCTGACTGGGAAAACCGTCCACGGGGCCCAGCAACAGAGCCTTACCCCAGTCAGCTTTCTGGGCTTCAAAAGCCGCCCCCCGCCCCGTTTCCCCTCGGTCCGGGACCGGAAGGCTTTCCGGTGCGTGAGCCCGCAGAGGAGCGGGCTGCAAACGCTGGGGAGGGATGTCAGGAATGCGAGAGTCCGTCCTGGGGGTGGGAGGGGAGCGGGGAAGGATGGAGGGAGAAGACGCTGCCAAACGCCTGGCTCGGGAGAGGAGCCAAGCCGTGGCGCTCCGAGGGCGGGGGCTCGGGTCCCACGCCCCAGCCAGACTGGCCCCCAGAAGGTTCCCCTCCCTCCGCGGCCCGTCAATCACTGTCCATTTAAATGCCTCGGGGTTGGCCCAGGTCCCCGCCCGCGCTGCTTGAAGGCGCCCCAGCCCAACGGACCTCCCCCAAATCCCACTCCGGCGCCCCGTCCTCACCTCCCGACTCCTCCCTGCGGCGGCTCCCTTCCTCCATTTTTCACCTCCACACCCGTCCCTCCCGCTGACCTCCAGGCTCCAGCCCCCGCCCCAGCCCTCCAGGGACGTCGCCCCCTCGGTGCCCTCCCCACGCTGGGTGGGAGCCGCGCAGGCGCACTACGCACCGCCCTAGACGCGGTCGGGGCTCTCCGCGCCCCGGCCCGGCTGGAGCTGGGGCCGCAGCGTTCACGAGACGGCCCCGGAGCCGGGTCCCAGCCTTTCCTGGCAAGGGAGGTGGCCGGGGAAAGAGGAGGAAGAGGGTTCCGACCACTGGTCTCCGGCGGAGACGGCCCCTCGCCCCGCCCACCGCTGCTACGCAACCGGCGGAAGCGCGTCACCAAGCCCCACCCCCTTGTGTAACTCGGCGGGCGCCGGGCAGCCGCGAGTGGCCAACGAGGAGGGCGGGAGGCCGCGGGCCTCCGCAGGGCCGGAAGTCTTGCGGCGCCAGCTATCCTTGCGGGCTGAGCCCCTGGGGGCGGCCACTCCGCGTTCCGCCCTCGTGGACGCCGGGGCCCAGCCCCCGGACTCCGCTCTGGAGGGCGCGCGAGTCCCGCGTCTCAGGGCTGCGGACGGTGCGGGGCCGTCGCCTGGAGGCCGGCACGCAGCGTCACCTCCGGCGCCGCTCCCGGCCCAGAGCCGCGGTTAGCGTCCTGGAGCTCCCGGCCCTATGACTCATCGTCATGGGAATGGACACTGGGCAACACGGCGGCCACGGGGTGGAGCGGGCGTGTCTAGCCGCAGTGCTTTGATCTCGGGCGCCCACGGGGCTGCCCGCCCCCGCCCCGCCGCGCCACTGCCGCATCCGCGCGGCGCTCCGGGACACTCTTAAGAGTTCCCCGGGACACCTGAGGGGGCAGGAGGGCGCTGCAGTGCCCTCCCGGGGTTGTGGCGTGATTTCCTTCCGTGGGAGGCCACAGCGTGGTCGAAGGTGTGGGCGGGAGAGAGCCTGGGTTCCGCGGCAGTCGGGGCGGAGTCCAGGGCAAAGGCCTTCACTAACCAAGGCGTTGACGGCGGCCTCGCTGGCCCGTCGGAGGGTCAGTGGTATCTGCTGGGGATGTCACGGTCAGGGGCAGCGCACGTTAGTGACGTGGCTGGCGGAAACACGGCCCACGAAGCTAGCTGCCTCCTTGCTGGCTCGAGTACCGAAGGGGACGGAAGCTTCGGGCTCTGCGAAGGCCCCGACCTGGCGTCGGGTGCGTGTGAACTGGGACGGAGCGGCCGCAACTGCCGCTCTTTGTCCTCTCGGCCCCCTCCCCTGCAGCTGCAGCGAACGGCCTGCTGCCGGGCCCAGGTGTGCGTGGCGCTCCCCGGAGACGCCGCCCCGTCTAGGCGGGCGAGAAGGTGGGGTGGCGGCAGTGGGAGAAGGGGGCAGCCGCCTGCCGGGAGCGAGCGGGGCTTTGCTTGGCACGGCTTCGGCTTCCTCATCTGCAAAACGCGATTGCACACCAAGACCTGTCAATAGAGGCGGCCGAGTGCGGCGCCGGGCTGCAGACTTTGTCCGCGGAGTTCCGAGACCCTGGTACTTTTTCTCACTGTGTCAGTCTCGTGAAGAGAAAATTTTTGAGCCAGAACACATGCTCCCCGACAAGTAAAGGAAAACGAGGGCGCCAGGGGCCCCCTGCTGGTCAGCCTTCCGCCGACCCACCGCCGCCCGCCCCTTTAAAGCTCAAGTCCGCCCCGCTCGCGGTGCGCGCGTCCCAGCTCGCCATTGGCTGGGCAGGGGCAGGCGACGCGGCTGCGGCGCGCCAGGTCGGCGCTGATTGGCCGGAGGCGGCCGGCCGGGGGCACTTCCGGGAATGTCCGCACTCCCGCGCTCCGTCGGGCGGCATCCGGGGGCCGCGGGGCCGGTGGCTCCCCCTGCGGGCGGCGCGGCGGGCGTGCACTGTCCGGCGGACCGGCTGGGTGGGTGGTGGGCTGCGGGTGGCCCTGGGGATGCGCCGAGTCCTGGGGGCTCCGGAGGCGCGCTCGCGGAGGCTTGGAGAGTAAGATTCCATCCCCTGGCTCTGCACCAGGCGCCTGCCCCCGACCCCCTCGGGGCTTAAGACAAATAGAGCATCCCGGGACGGGGCCTTGCGGCCTCGAAGACGCCGATGTGGAGACCCTCCCGAATGCGGACCTTGAAGTTGGAGGCCCCGGGGGATGTGCGTCCCTAACCTTTGAGAAGAGTTAGACGGTTTGCGCCGCCTGGATTCCAGCCCGGAGTGGTAGGTAGGCCGTGGGACGTGGAGCATGAGGGCAGGATTCCAAGCGTGGCGCCTTCATCCCTTTTCCCTTGCAGTGGGGTGCAGAGGCCCGGGCAGCATGACTACGGAGACCTTCGTGAAGGATATCAAGCCTGGGCTCAAAAACCTGAACCTCATCTTCATTGTGCTGGAGACAGGTTGGCGATGCTGTGGGGGTAGCCCCCCACCAGCCCGCCGTGACCCTCCCTGCATGGGGGCTTGGGGGGGAAAGCGAGAAAACGCGAGCCCCATTCCTACTGTGCTTCCAGAGTGGCAGGACGCCCCCCGTGACACCCCTTAGGCATGCCCCGTCTCTCCTAGACCTTTGCTAGAGAGTCCTGTCAAGTTTAGCGTAGACTGCACACCGGCCTCAGTCCCCAGAGCTGCTGGGGCCGCGTCCACTCAGGACCCTCCATGGTGCCCGCCCTGTACTGTCCTCCCCACTCCCATCACCATCCTGTGCCCAGGATTTAGCTTGTCCTGTGTACATGCTTTTGTCTTCACCCCACCAATATCGAGGTCTCATTCTGACCACCACCGCTCCCATTTCCTTGACCACTCCAATTTTATCTGTTCCTTCCAGGCCGAGTGACCAAGACAAAGGACGGGCACGAGGTTCGCACTTGCAAAGTGGCCGACAAAACAGGCAGCATCAATATCTCCGTCTGGGATGACGTGGGCAATCTGATCCAGCCTGGGGACATTATCCGGCTCACCAAAGGGTAAGTTCACAGGTAGCGCCCGGCACTCGGGGGCAGAACAGCCAGGGACAGGAGGGGTTAACTGTTCCCTTAACTCTTCTGGGTTCTCTGAGTCAAGCTCTTTGTGCCCCCACAGGTACGCCTCAGTGTTCAAAGGGTGTCTGACTCTGTACACGGGCCGCGGGGGTGACCTTCAGAAGATTGGAGAGTGAGTAAGGGGGCTGGCACATGGATGCGCCCGACGAGGGGTCTGAGGCGTGCAGGGAGGCGCAGCCCAGGTCCTGCATCTGTGGGCCTTTCTGAGTCTGGCCACTTTGTTCCCTCGCAGATTCTGCATGGTTTATTCTGAGGTGCCTAACTTCAGTGAGCCAAACCCAGAGTACAGCGCCCAGCAGGCCCCCAGCAAGATGGTGAGTCCATGGCCCCGGGGTGGGGCAGGGAGCAGGTGGGGCCGAGACGTCTGAGTGTGTGACTTGTGCCTGCAGGTGCAGAACGACAGCAGCCCCGCAGCCCCCACGCCTGCCACTGGGCCCTCCGCTGCTTCTCCAGGTAGCGTGATCCCTTCCCGCCACGGGCTCTAGCTCTCCCCCACTTTCCAGCCCAGGACGGTGCGTTTTCTCCATCCCCACCGTGTTCCCAGGAATCTACGTTCAGGGTATCTCCTTCTAACCAGTTCTTTTGCTGGTCCCCATAGTGAAAAGATGTGGGGACCTGTTTTCATCACTGGTAGTGCTCTGATGGTATATTTTTTTAAAGACTTATTTATATGTGCAGGCAGAAACTGGGGTACAGGCCAGAGGTGTGGGTGTGGGAGACTCACCAGAGACAGCGGGGAGCAGGACAGGCAGATCCGCTGAAACACACTGCTGAGGGGAGCAGCGGGCAGACAGAAGAGGTCTGCTGCGCCCTGGGGGTCCCTCCCTGGTTGTAACATGACTATATAATAATCTGACTAGTATATTTTCAGCTCTAAGATTCCGTTAATTCACAAAAAATATTTAAGTATGGCATATTGAAGCTTATTTGCCCTGTAGTCATTTCCTATATTCATTTATTTTGTCATCTGCTAACAGGTAAACACAAAGTTTTAACAGGTTTTAAAATATATATATATGTGTCATAAAAACTTACATTGTCTATGCTCTCCCCTGACTTTTTCTGTGAATTGAGGAAAGGCCATTAGCTTTGCTGCGACATCTCGGTCTGGTAGGCCAGCACAACTTGGTAGGGGTCTGGTTTGAGAACTGCTTACTAACGGCTTCTACCCCAGGCAGGCTTGTTAGTGGCCCGCGTGTGCGAAAGGCGGGCCTCTGCCTCTGTCTAACGCTCACGGAGCGCCCGTCCTGTGCCAGGGACTGCCACAACACCTGCCTTGAGGAGGTGTAGCCTTTGAAGGAGACAGCTGGTGGTCATAACGCGGGAAGCTGTGGCACTTGGACGGGCTTGCATCACCCAGCCCAGTCAGACATTAAAACGACACCAAAATGTCACTTCCTTTGAGGGGTCAGAACACAGGCGGTCAGCTTTTTGCTTGTTCTTATCTGGATTTTCCAAAGTGAACATGTTACAGACACTGCGGGTCTCCCCTTCCTATGCTTCTCCAGCTTTATAGTCACTTTTGCTCAAGGGGCATTCGTCGGCAGTCCTTGCGCCTAGAACTAAGGAGTTCTAGGTCTAGTCCCTAATGCTGTAGATGTTGAATAAAAGAGGGAAAACAGGGGCTCTCTGGTGGTGCGAAGGGTGAAAGCCCAGCACTATGAAGCTCTCTGCAGCCACTAGAGTTTGATCCCTGGCCAGGGAGTGACGACAGGGCGCAGCAGACCTCTCCTGTCTCCCGCTGCTCCCCTCAGCAGTGTGTTTCAATGGGTCTGCCTGTCCCGCTCCCCACTCTGTCTCTGGGGAATCCTCTTACCCCCTGCACCTCTGGCCTGCACCCCAGCTCTTGTTTTCACCAACAGATACATCTTTTTTAAAATAATAATAAAATAAATAAATCTTTTTTTAAAAAAAAAAAAAGAGGAAAAACATTTGGGCTCACATAGCAACTTCCAGAACGATCAAGTCTCATCTGGGGCACCTTTCACACCACCACTCAGCCTTTGCGCATAGTCGCCTTGGCATTAATATGTTTGTGGAGCTGCAGGTCTCTGGAGGCCTTGGGCTGGGCTTCCCCTGCCTCAGGTCTCTAACGCCTGGTCTCTTCTTCTCCTCCTAGCCTCTGAAAGCCAAAACGGGAACGGACTGAATGCCCCTCCAGGGCCTGGCGGCGGCCCACACCCCCCTCACACTCCCCCCCACCCGCCCAGCACCCGAATTACCCGAAGCCAGCCCAACCACGCCCCCGCTGGGCCTCCGGGCCCTTCCAGCACCGCTGCCAGCAACGGCAAGGAAACCCGGAGGGGCAGTAAGAGATAGCCCTGCATCTTCCCCGTGTCCCCAGCGAGCGAGACAGCCTGGGGCTGGCTGGCTGCCTGCCGCTGCCAGGGCGCAGGCCGGCCCCCCCTCCGCGGGTTACCTGTCCCCTGGGATCAGGGCCTCTGCTGCTCCAGAAATGAGTTAGAGGCGTGTCTCGCGTGTGAGGTGGAAACCTGTCGAGCCCCTCCTTCTTAATAAAAGTTACTATTCCAACTGGGCTGTTTTTTTACCACCCCCCTCGCCTGTGCTTTTTCTGTGAAAACAAAGAGGTCAGCAGTGGGGCGAGTGGACGGGCCAGGGGTCCCTAGGAGGCTGAAGGGAGGTAAGCTGCAGGTGGGGAGGCCGGGCAAAGCCGTCTGCCCCTTTAAGGCAGTGCCCCTCCCCGCCCAGGTGACCCTTGCCCGCTGCTGCCGCCTGGCCCCTCCACACTGGAGCCAGGAAGGGCTGGCTGCCCCTTCCTCTGGGTGTCTTCCTGCCTCCGCTGTCAGGTAATGCCGGCCTCAGCCCCCAGGCCAGCTGCCCAGGCAGAGCGCGCAGCCTGCTTTGCAGCCGGCATCTGCGGGGATCTCGGACACATCCCTTCCCGCCAGCGAGTCCCCTTCCTTGGCCCTCGGGTCCCAGAACGCTGACTCTGACTCTTGGGGAGAAGGAACCGCTAAAAACAGTCTCCTTCCCATGCCTCCGGGGTTGCCACTTACCTCTGCTACCTACTCTCCGGCTGGACAGCACCTGGGTCCCTAAGGGGCCTGTGGGGGTTGCGGGCTAGAGCTGGGTCAAGCCCAGTGCCAGCGCAAGGTGGGTGGGCGGGCGCACGTGGTACGGACCGGGCTTGGTGGGGAACTGAGTCTCTGGAGAAGGCCAGGCTCTCCGTGCCATGTGGCTTTTGCAGGGGCAAAGGTGGCCCCTCCCTATTCGGGCCCAGCCGAGACTGACCTTTGACCCCCACCCCAGAGACCAGTGAACCATTAACTCCTCACTGATGTGAGCCTTCCCACACTGGCTCCACCCCGGCCCCGCCCCAGGCAGGTGGGCTGGGGGGGCTTGTCCACTAGCCTTCTCTCTGACGTGGCCTCCTTTCCACCTGGTCACCAGGAGGCTGAACCCAGGCTCCCTCCCTGGCTCTGGAACCTCCGGGCGCCCACAGCGAGGCCTGCGGGGCCAGAGCTGAAGGCTCACGCTGCCTGCGGGGTGAGGCCCTGGGTGAAGGGTGTGTCGAGGTGGAGCACAGGCTAGAGGGACGGTTGCGGGGTGGGGTGAAAGGTCAGCTCCGGACCAGGCAGGACGCGTGCTCATGCCAGGAGCTGGCAGATGGGGGGCTGCCCAGGAGGCTGGAGTGGGGGTCCTCCGAGGAGTGAGGGCCCCCAGGCCTTTGCTGGCTGGCAGAGCAGGAGCCCCCACATTCCTCCTTTTCTTCCAGGCCACAGTGCTCAGGATGTTCCCGGGGCAGTAGAAGCCAGAACCAGAGCCTCCAGCCCACTTCCGCCCCCGATAATGGGGCCCCCCACGAGTCATCTGCTGGCTGGCCTGTGTGTCTGGGTGGCTTTGGGTGGGGTCAGGGGCTCAGCCCCCGACCTGGGTGCTGCAGAGCAGGAGCAGGATCACTACCTGGCCCAGCTGTTTGGCTTGTACGGGGAGAACGGCACGCTGACTGCGGGCGGCCTCGCGCGGCTGCTGCACAGCCTGGGGCTGGGCAGAGTACAGGGGCTTCGCCTGGGACACCCCGGCCCTCCACCCGGTCGGGTCGCACCCCCAGCTGGAGACAACTCCACGCACAGGTAGTAAACGTTCCCGCCTCCATCCCCAACGCCACAGCCCCAAGTCTTGGTGTTCGCACCAGCGCCGCTCCTCGCTCCTCGGGGAAGACCGCGGAGTTGCGTTCTTCTGACCCGGACCCCTGGCCTCCCCTCCAGTCCCTTTGGCTCTCTATTTGCTTCCAAGCCCCTGGCCCCTTGAGTTCTTTATTCTTAGTCCCATGCCCAGCGTCTCCAGGTTGACTCAGCTCCCAGTTTACAGCGTTCTTGGCTGTTCTCCCATTTTCTGTCACCTCCAGCCCTGCAGCCCCCATTCCTAGGCCTGCCTAGAAAGCAACAATCCTTAGCTTCTGGTTCCAGGAACTTCAGCCAGGAGCTGACCGTCCTGCCCCCCTAAGCAGCCGGGGGCGGGGGTGTCCAAGCCAGTCTGACGTGCTGCTACCGCGTCCGTTCCAGGCCGCAGGACCCCACGCTGGATGTGGATGTCTGGGCTGGGCTGCCACTGGGCCCCCCGGGGTGGAGTGACCTGAAGGAGAAGGCCCCACTCCCGCCCCGTGGGCCGGGCCCCTCGGGCCTAGGCCTCTTTCACAGGCTGCTGCTGCTGGACCACTCACTGGCTGACCATCTGAATGAGGATGTGAGTCTTATCTCTAGAGAGGGGAGGAAGCCATGGGATTTCGAGAACCAAACGCGTTTAGCCAGTAGTCAGCAGCTGCAGAAGAAAGACCCAGAGAGGCTCTCGGCGCGGGTCACTGCGATAGCGGGACAGGAGCTCTGGGCGGGGCAGAGAGCCCACAGCCAGGGCCCGTGAGACCCGGTTTAGGGGCCGCACCTGGCGAAGCAGCAGCCAGGGAGCACCTGGGACGGCTACCTGGCGAGGAGCCCTGCAGGAGGGTGGGGTGGGTGTCTCCACCCGGGAAGACTGGGAGGCCCATGAGGCACTCAGCCGAGGGCGGGCGGACACGCGACAGGGCTGCTGAAAGGAAGGCTCTGCAGGTTCTCACCTGTCTGGCTCTGCAGTGGGCGGCCCAGGAGTCCCACCAACTCCACCACCACTTCAGCACAGCACGGGGCGGGGGGGGGGGGGGGGAGTAGTGGCAGGCTCCCCAGCGCACCCACCAGGCTGCCTATTCACCGGGAAGCAATGCGCTGGTCTTGCAAAGTCCTCGTCCCTGTCGCTGTGAGGGCAGGGCCCTGACCGGGGCCCACGCGACACTCACTGGGCAGACGGCAAAGACCTGAGTCACAGCTGCTGCGCCTCCCGGTGACGCCTCTCAACCCCGCAGTGTCTGAACGGCTCCCAGCTGCTGGTCAACTTCGGTCTGAGCCCTGCTGCTCCTCTGACCCCGCGCCAGTTTGCCCTGCTGTGCCCAGCCCTGCTTTATCAGCTCGACAGCCGTGTCTGCACCCAGGCTCCGGCCCCAAGCCCCCCAGGGGACCTGCTGTCTGGTCAGTGGGGGAAAGTGGGTGCCAGGGCGCCCCGAATTCTTGGAGGGAGCGGGTGGGTCCTGAGCCAAAGTCTGGAAGGGGTCTCGCTGGGGCCCGCCTCTCCCCGCAGGGCGTCTGCCCCTCCCCACACCGGCCCCTCCCTCTGGCCCCGACCTGACTCCAGCTGATTCCCCGCAGCCCTGGCCCACAGCTCGCTGGCTGTGCTGCTGCTCAGCCTCCCGGCGCCCCTCTCCCTGCTGCTGCTGCGGCTCGCGGGGCCTCGCCTGCTGCGGCCCCTGCTGGGCTTCCTGGGGGCCCTGGCCGTGGGCACTCTCTGTGGGGACGCGCTGCTGCACCTGCTGCCTCATGTATGGAGCCCCCGGCCCCCTGCCCCAGTGGGGCCGCCAGCCCCGGCCCCCT